GGTCGAATACCTAAAAATTTTCTTTTAAAATAGTTTTTAAGAAAACCATATTTAAAAGATGAACTGATCTGCGTTTTATAACCAAAAATTCGTTCTTTTTAATAATAAAAAGGGATTCGTGGTCGGTTACGTTTAGGGAAGGATTAGCACCCCTACAACGCCCAAAATTGGTACTTTTTAATTATAAATTGTCTCTATTAAAATGCAAAAATATATTTAATTTATAATTCTATTAAAAAATATTTATTTATTAAAAATATCCGAAAAGAACTTCTAGGTGCCTTAAGACAGCTCTTTTCTTTGATATTGATAAATATTAATTTAAATAATATTGTTTACTTTTTAATTTTAAAATATCAGAATAGGACATCCAGTTGTATTAAGACTGTCCTTTTCTTCGATATTTAAAAAAAACAAATATTAAAAAAATATTTTATATGTATATTTATGAATATATATAAAAATATTTAACAGTATAATAAAATAAAAATATCACTAAAATAATATATTTTAAGCAATAAAATGAAAACATATAAAATAAATAACTAAATTATGAATAAAATAAAACTAAATCTAATTCCTAATTAATTGAAATTATAGGGATTAAATATTTTTTTTTCTAATTTAATAATTTAATGACCAAAATAAAATTATCTAAAATTCAAATTTTATAATAAAATAAATTAAAAGTATGAACTAGGGACTAAAAAATTATTTATTAAAATTAAGGGATTAAATCTGTCATTTATCCTAAATATATTATTTTAATTAAAAAGACTAAAATGAATAAAATTAAAATTCAAAGACCGAATTAAAATTTTTATAAATTTAGTTTAGTGACCAAAATGTAAAGTTTACAAATATGAAGGACTGCGGAAGGGATTTAACTATTTTGTAATTACGCGCATAGTCCTTCCCGAAACGACGTCGTTCGGGAAGGACTATATAAGTCCAAATCGGCTGGCCCTTCGGGCCAGCCATTTCATTTTTTCTTTCTTTTTTTTTTTTCTTTCTCTCAAACAGAGAGAAGAACTCTCTGTCTTCTCTCTAAACTGAGAGAAGTTCAGTCGGCCGGCAGCCGTTAGCCGGCGTTCATCCGCCGTCAACCACCGCCGCCGGCCACCGTCTTCGGTGGCCGGAAATTTTTTTTATATCTAAATGTAGATCGGACCGTCCTAATGACGGTTCCGACGTTTTTTCCCGTTAAACTGCTCCCAATCGGAGCAAAATCTAAAATAATACCTTCAATGTTTCGAAGGTTCTGACGAGATCCGGTGGTCGACGCTTCCTCGGTAAGTCTCTTCTTCCTTTTTCTTTCTTTTTTCTTCTGGTTCTTTGCTGCTGAGATCGTTGGTATAGTTTGTTTTTTTTCTTTTCTCTGTTTTTTTTTCTCTCTGGTTCTGTTTCTGTCTCTGTCTCCTTTTTTTTTTTTTCAGGTGGGTGGTGGCTTTTATAGCCACCACCGGTGTTCGTCTCGGACCGGTCCGAAGAGGGGGCTTCGGTGAGTCACCGGACTACCAGTGGTGACTCACCCCGTAGCCTTGGCGTGGACGGCCGGTGTTCTAGCTTCTGGAGTCTTCGGCTGGGACGTGGCAGCGGCGGAGGCGGTGAGGGCTTCTGGAAGCAGCAGCAGCGGCGGCCGCGTGGCCCTAGGGTATCATACCCTAGGGTTTGTGCTGGATGAGTGTGGACCGTTGGATCGTGCCAGATCCAACGGCTGTGATGAGGCGGCTGAGGATGATTAGGGTTAGGAAACCCTAACTGGAAACCTAAACATTTAGGGTTTCTAGTTAGTTTTGGACCGGTTCTGGTTGGTTTGTAACTGGACCGGTCCAGTTGTAATTGGGCCTGTAAATATTATTATGTATTTAATATATTTAATATAAATTAATAATAATAATAATAATAATAATAAATAATAATATAATAATAATAATAATAATAATAATAATAATATTAATAATAATAATATGGATAAAAAATTAATATCTTCAACTATAAAGTTACACTATCACTAAACATTGCATCTATGCCACAACAGTCGGTGCCAAGATTTCAATCTTCGGCCTAAAGAATAAAAGAAGATGCTTTCTCACCGTGCAATTTTGAACCCTTAAATCTCTTTAAAGACAGCATATATTCTCAGTAACATGAAATTTCATCTCGTAAATGCTGAAGATAATTTAATTTATGATGACGTATAACATAAAACATATGCACTTGTTGCTTATATGCAAAAGCTTTACTAGTGGAAGATCCAATTTGGAACTGCAACTACAAGTTGCAGGCTCATTTCATCACAATACAAAATGGAATTCGATGTATCTTTTCGTTTAAAATCCAATTGGTACTTTATTAGTGGAAGAGCAATGTCTTCAAGTTTGCTTCTTCTTACCGTCATTAATGAATCATGAAAATTCCCTTGTACATTAGAAAAATCCCAAAACAATGTGATAATGCACTAGAACAGCTCAAGTCACCATCTTCCATCATTTCCTTTTAACTATTTTCTCCACAAACTGAAAAAGGGAAAGCTTGATCAAGACACAAAGTTTTAGGCCAAAGAAAAGAAGAAGAAAAAAAGCTGCCTCCAAGTGGTGCGTGTCGGGTTCCCAGGTGTTCCGGGTGGATCGAATTGTCCGAAAATCCTAAAAAAAATCACATGGGAGTTTATTTTCTTGGGATGTGACTAACAAGTTCATTCCATTTTGATCATAAGAACAAAAACTTTCTTTTTTTCTTAGAAAAAATGGAGAAGTGATGCATGATTTTTTATAGCATATAATGAGATTGCTGAAAAGGGTTTTTGACGAATTATGAGGAGTGTGATGAGGATACAACTTTGGTGTTTGTTCTTCAACATGGCCATGGGTGCTTTTCAAGCATGCTTGTTTGTGTCCACACTAGCCATCCGTATTACTCAAATTCACTAGCTATTTATATTATTCGAATTAGTTATGAGGATACTAAATATAGTACAATTTTAATACAAGTATATTTATCATCAACCATAAAATAGTTAAAGTCACCTTATATAATATAATTATACTCTATTTTTTTTGGGTACACATAATTATACTCTATCAACTACTGAAATCGAATATATGATGATTATTGAGATTTGTAAAGAATCAAAATAAAGGGGTTCTCCTATGAATTTATTCAAGACCTTTGAATTATATATATATATATATATATATATATATTGTGTTAGTTAGAGTGTCATTTTTCTTACAAATGATCAAATATTTTAAGAGAAGACAAAATATATTAATATCCAATATTATTTTGTAGGTGGTATTATTATTCAAGGTGATATTGTTGTGAGTGGAATTAATATTCATGATAATCTTGCACGTATGCTAACTAAGTCACTGTCTTACGTCAAGAATTGAGCATTAGTTGGATTTGGTCGATGTTCATTATTGAAGAATATATCTTTAAGAAATTTCATGTAAGAAGCCAAAAATATGTTTTCAAGATGAAAAAATTGTTCTTTAAGGTGACGAATTGATTTTTTCATTGTTAAGTTTAGGTAATTCATCAAATTTGATATTTTATTTTGAACTCCTTGCACTTTCAAAATATTTATTGATGTGAAGATCGTTACAGTTTGACTTGAATTTGATGTAACACGGAGTAATGAAAATATAAAATTAAGGGATAATCGAAAAAAATAGAAATTTTATTTAGAAGTAATAAGTTTATTTTCTTTTATGTTGACTAAATAGAAAATCTACTTTGAGTATATATCTACCAAACATATTTCATTTGTAACCAAATAATTATCTTTATAAATAGGTATTGATAATTAGAACTAAAAGTTAACCTATTTCTACAAATTATCTTGTATTCTTTCTTTTCAGAAGATTCTCTTCTATTTATAATTTTTTTCCTCAAAAAGGTATTTTTACTCTAAATCTCCCTATTATTTTTATTTTAATGATTATTACATATTTCATTATTGTGTTTATATTCTTACATAAATAATCATTATCTAACCATTAGTCATGTAGCTTCTTTAATCAAAATAATTTCTATTTTTTATTACCTTATCAAAATACTTTAAAAACCATTGCTTATATATTTTTTCTAAGTTACTTTTAGGGTACGAATCAAGTGATTTTTGTGATAAAGGAATTGCTGTTATTTTTCAAGGACTTGAATTCGAACACCATGAACAAGGGCGGATGCACTAAGCCCTATAGGGTGTCAAGTGCATCCCCATTATTTTAGAAAAATGATGAAATTTTGTTTAAAATGTTAAGAAAAAATTCCACATACCCATTATCTATATATAAAAAAAAGATACTAAAATTTTGCACCCCATTCTTAAATTTCTAGATCCACCATTGATCATGAATACTAAAGATGCAAGCGTTTAATGTTAAAAAGGTTAGAAAATTATCTATAAACAAATATGATCTTATATTTACCTAAAATTAATAAAAACAAATCACTTTTAGTTTTCGTAGACGTAGTATATGGATGAATCGATGGGTTGGGGTTTGACCCAAATTGATAACATGTGAACGAATTCGAAAAAGGGGTTGGATTTGAGGTTGGGAGGCGACAATTGAAAATTCAGATTCTGAAGGACTTAATTTCTTTTTCTTTTTTCATTTTAATAATTCAATCCGCGTCATTTAACCTGAAAATTTCATAAAAACATATCATTTTAATTGTATAATTAATTTTATGTGAATTTTCTTTTTTATTAATTTAAAATAATTACAAAGTAATATCTGTTCTAAATACTCTCAACTAATCTCAATTTTAATATATATTTTCATAACTTTGCATTGATTTTGGGCTTCGGCTTAAATTGGTGATGAACTTTCTTTTACTTTGGGCTAAACGTAATTCCAACCTAATTTTGGCCCAATAATTCAGCTTCAAATAGATACCCAATCCTAATTTTCAATTAATTAATTGTTTTTGAAATTGATTTTCCTGCAGTATAAAACCTTTTCCTCTTCGAAAAGCGTTTCACTTCTTCAAATTTCTTTAAACCAGGAAGTAAAACAAAAAAATGGCGGGAACCGATCCACCAAAAAATCTCCTCTCTCTAATCCGAGACTTCGCGTCTGAGAAATCTCAAGGAGGTAATCATTTTCCTTTCTATATAACATATGTGTTTCTGTTTGTTTCATGATAAAACGCTGGGAATGAAATGAGAACAAATTTGAAGTTTCCGGTAGGATTGAAGCTTTTCTTCTGTCTTATATTTTACTTTCCTACATTTTCTGCTCATAGTAAACGGAGATTTTTGTTTGAGATGTTTTGATTTTGACACGTGTAGAGAGAAGAGTGGTTGGCTTGAAGAAGCAAATCGAAGAGCTCCCATCAGAGCTTGAAGCAGTGAATTCTGAGCTCGAAGAATCGAAACGTTTGAAAGAAACAACTGAACAAGAGCTTAAAGGCTTCGAAGTTGAATTAGCTCTGAACGAAGCTTCGATTCAAGCCCTAGAGGTTCGTTGTTTTCCGTTTTATTTTTAAACTTGTCGCTAATTTATTTTTGAACTTTCCTTTTTCATCTTCCAAATTATTTGCAGGCCAGGATTGCTTTGATTCAAGATGAAATATCCACCATTGGATCTGAAATAGAGGACCTTAAGGTACTTAAACGACTTTGTTTTTGTGATTTGTTACATTTGAATTAAAATTCTACACTTAATTAAATAACTAATTAATAAATTTTGCATGGAATATTTGAAGAATAAAGAGGCAACATCAAGGTAAGGATTTCGTCGTCTTCTTTAAAAAAAAAAAAAAAAAATCTTTTTATACTTCTAAAGAAGAAGAATTCCTGATTCTAATTCTTGATAATTCTGTACAGAGATGAGTTTATTTGTCCAATGGTTCAGTTCAACACTAAGATAAAGTTTGGTTTAATTCATCTGAATGGAATTTATTAATAATTGTGAGCGTATTTCTTTCTCAGATATGCTGTAGCTATTATCTAGCTTTTACATGAATGAATTGTCATTAATTGTGATTGTATTTCTTTCTTACCATGGACCAGTATGTAGCTGTAGTTTTAATTGTTGCTTTTGGTTGAGGTAAAAAAGCCAATATGCTCATCAAATAATTTTATTTTTTCATCTGGTATGGAAAAGAGATGAATGGAGTCCTGAAACAAGGATGGGGAGGGCCTAATAACTAAAATATTAGTTGAAGAATTTAGAGCAATGCTATCATTAAATTGTTTCACTCTTTTAACTATATTCAAAGATCTTTGATTTGCTGTGAATCTGGGATTCTAAGACTTTCTTATATGCACACTTGTTGCTTATGTTGGGGAAATCGGGTTATTTCCCACACGAACGTAGTTTGAAAATTGACCTAAAATGTCAAGATCAAAACCACCAAAGGTTACACAGCGGATAAATCTGTCAAACTATTGGATATTGAAACACAATGGAAAAACTGAATAAAAAACAATAAAGGAGAGAACACACCAAATTTACGAGGTTCGACGAGAATATCGTCTACTCCTCGGGCACCACACCGGATGATAACTTCACTATATCGTCAATATTACAACAAATGAAATTCTTTAGAATTCCCAAAGTGGGAGAATGAAGAATACAAGAGGAAGAGAGAACTTGTTTTTGGGATGATTTCTAATAGAAATACTCAGGCCTATTTATAGTTGAGTTTTAAGAACAATATGTTCAAAGTTTGGCCACCTACCAAAGAATTTTCCAACGTGTACAAGTTAGCCACTAAATATGAAATTCACATGTTCAAAGTTTGGCCACCAACCAAGATGAAATTTCTAATAAGTTGGCCACCAACCAAGATAAAATTTCCAACTTGTCAACTTAATTTATAGACAAATCTAACAAATCTCCACCTTGGCTTGAAATTACCAAGCCTACTCAACTTCTTCAACTCCCCAAATTTGTAGTGCCTCTAATTGCGCTCACAAGTGCCACACACCCGAAGGTTTTCATACTTTCAGGATGTTAATCAAGTTCAAACAATGATTAAACTTGATTACTGTTGCCACCTTAGTCATCATATCTGTAGGATTTTCTGATGTCGTAATTTTCTGAAGTATAATCTTTCCTTCTTCAAAGATCTCCCGCACAAAGTGATAACTCACGTCGATATGCTTAGTCTTTGAATGGTAGACTTGATTTTTCGCTAAGTGAATAGCGCTCTGACTGTCACATAGAGACTAATGTGACTTTGAACAACTCCCAAGTCTTCCATCAACCCGTTAAGCCAAATTGCTTTCTTTACAGCCTCTGAAACTGCCATGTATTCTGTCTCTGTAGTAGACAAAACCATTGTAGATTCCAATGTAGACTTCCAACTTACTGAGGCTTTAGCAAGAGTAAACAAATACCCAGTAGTTGATCGACGTTTATCCAAATCACCAGCATAATCAGAATCAACATATCCAACCACACACTGACCAAGTGCTTTATCCTGTTCAAAAACTAAACCAACATCCACGGTTTGTTGGAGATACCGTAGAATCCATTTCACAGCTTGCCAATGTCCTTCTCCAGGATCATGCATGTACCTGCTCACAACTCCAACTGCTTGTGAAATGTCAGGACGCGTACACACCATTGCATACATTAAGCTACCAACTGCATTAGCATATGGAACTTTTGCCATATACACTCGTTCTTCGTTAGTTTTAGGAGATAATTGAGAACTAAGTTTCAAATGAGAAGTCAATGGGATACTTACATGTTTGGTATTTTCATTCATGCCAAAACATTGTAATACCTTTCTCAGATACTGCTTCTGTGTTAAACAAAGCTTCCCTCTCTGTCTATCCCTGCTTATCTCCATACCAAGAATCTTCTTAGCCTCACCTAGATCTTTCATCTCAAACTCTTGATTCAACTGAGCCTTTAATTTGTCTATCTCCTTTTGACTCTTCGAAGCGATCAACATATCGTCAACGTACAAGAGAAGATAAATGAAAGATCCATCTTTGAGCTTTTGCAAATACACGTAATGATCATATTTGCTTCTAGTATACTTTTGCCTCCTCATAAAGCTATCAAACCGCTTGTATCACTGCCTTGGAGATTGCTTCAATCCATATAACGATTTGTTCAGCTTACATCACAACCACTATCTTTGTATCCTTCTGGCTGAGTCATATAGATCTCCTCTTCTAAGTCACCGTGCAAGAAAGCCGTCTTTACATCAAGTTGAGCTAGCTCCAAATTCAACTGTGCTACCAAGGCCAACAATATTCTAATGGAGAAATGCTTCACAACAGGGGAAAATACTTCATTGTAGTCGATTCCCTCCTTTTGAGCGTAGCCTTTAGCTACCAATCGTGCCTTGTAGCGAACATTTTTCTTGCTATGAAATCCATCTTTCTTTACAAATACCCACTTGCATCCAATGGTTCTTTTACCTTTCGGTAATTGTTCCAGTTTCCAAGTGTTATTCTTTTGGAGAGATTGCATTTCTTCATCCATGACACTTTTCCACTTATCACTTTCCAAGCTTTGTATTGCTTATTGGTAAGTGATAGGGATATCATCATCAACAACTGGAAGAGCATAGGCCACCATATCAACAAATCGAGCAGGTCTACGAATTTTTCTCTTTGGCCTTGTAACTTCAAGTGGTACTGGTGTCTCCAATGGTTCTTGGGTTTGAACCTCTTCATCTTCTGATTCTTCTATTGGAGTTGAAGAATCAGCTGCATCAACTTCTGGGATCATCGTCTGTTGAAACTCCACCTATTTTGGAGTATGCTCCACCTGCTGCGGAGTACTACTTGTCTGGACAGCTTCACTTGTTACCTTCTTTACTAGGGCAGATTCATCAAAGGTAACATCTCTGCTACAAATTATCTTCTTGGTGTCTAAACACCAAAGGTGGAATCTCTTCACTCCATGGGTGATTCCCATAAAGAGAGCCTTCTTTGCTCTCAGATCAAGCTTGGATTCCTTCATATGATAATAAGCAGTGGATCCAAATACATGTAAGGAATCATAATCAGTAGCAGGTTTTCCAGACCATACCTCCAATGGTGTTTTTTCTCCTATCGTTGATGACGGCAGACGATTGATGAGATGGCCAGCATATGTCACAGCCTCAGCCCAAAATGCCTTGCCTAATCCAGCATTAGACAACATACATCGAACTTTCTCCAATAGTGTTCGATTCATACGCTCTGTCACCCCATTCTGTTGTGGTGTATGTCTAATAGTGAAGTGTCGAACAATACCATACTCATGGCAAACGTCAAAGAATGGGTCACTTTTATATTCCCCTCCATTGTCCGTCCTAAGACGTTTGATCTTTCTACCAGTGGTTCTCGATCATATTTTTCCATTTCAGGAAAATTTGATGCACTTCATCTTTAGACTTCATCGGATACACCCAAACTCTTCTGGAAAAGTCATCTAAAAAAGTTACAAAATAATGGTTTCCTCCCAAAGACGATGTCTTTGAAGGACCACATACATCTGAGTGAATATAATCTACAATACTTTTTGTATTATGTATAGTGGTGCCAAACTTCACTCTCTTCTGCTTTCCCAGAACACAATGCTTGCAAAAGTTCAATTTGCAAGCCTTTGCACCTTTCAACAATCATTTCTTTTCCAGAATTTGCAAGGATTTCTCTCCAGCATGTCCCAACCGCATATGCCACAACTGGGTTGCGTCCAAATCATCACCTTCGGAAGCTGTTGCAACTGCTCCAATAATTGTACTACCTTGATAGTAATACAAATTATTTTTCCTGATGTCCTTCATCATCATAAGTGCGCCATATGTGACTTTTAAAACTCCATCTCTCATAGTGACTACTGAGCCTTTGAATTCCAAGGCTCCTAACGAGATGAGATTTTTCTTCAAACTGGGCACGTATCGGACATCCGTCAGAACTCTAGTTGATCCATCTTGATTCTTCAATCGAATTGAACCTATCCCAACAGTTTTACAGGCATTATCATTGCCCATATAAACAACTCCTGCATTTAGTTCTACTAAATCGGAGAACCACTCCTGATTAGGGGACATATGATAGGTGCAACCCGAATCTAATATCCATTCATCTGAATGGAATGTTGTTGATGAAGCAACCAATGATATGTCAGAGTCATTTGCATCATGCTCTGCAGCACATGCATCTGGAGTAGCTTTTCCTTTCTTCTTCAGCTTCGAACAATCTTTCTTCCAATGGCCTTTCTCATGACAAAAGGCACATCCATCTTTTCCCAGTCTGGACTTCGACTTTGATTTTCCTCTCCACTTTGGCTTTTGACTTTTCGAGCGACCTCTTGCCACCATGGCCTCCGCTGCTTCATACTTGCTCTCCTTCTTGGTTTTCTTCCTGAGCTCATAACTATACAAAGCAGCAGTTACATCTTTAAAGGTAACATTATCCTTACCATGAAGTAGCGTTGCCTCAAAGTGCTCAAATTCATATGGAAGAGATGACAACAACATCAAGGCCAAATCTTCATCTTTGAAGGTTTCATCCATGCCCAATAAGTCTGCCACTAGCTCATTGAACGCAGTGATATGTTCATTCATACTGATGCCTGGTTGATAATCAAATCTGAACAATCTTTTCTTCATGTGGAGACGATTCTGAGAGTTTTTCTTTAGGAAATTTTCCTCCAATGCTTTCCACATCTTACTTGCAGAAGTCTCGTTCTTGTAGCCATACTTCTGCTCTCTGGAAAGACAAAATCGAATCGTGCTACACGCCAAACGATTGATTGTTCCTCATTCTTTCTCCTCCATATATTCGGGCTTTTCTTCCTCAATGGCGATGTTTAGACCTTGTTGGAATAAAGCGTCTAATACCTCGCCTTGCCACATGCCAAAATGACCGGATCTATCGAACAACTCCACCGAGAAATTTGTATTTGACATCATCCTCCTCACCGGTCCGGATGAAGAACTTGATGTCTCAACTGATCCGTATTTTGGCATTTTAATTCCAACGAACAATATTCAATAGCACGAATTGTATCTTTTCAGCAACAGAACCACCAGGATAATCTCAATTGAAGCTCTGATGTCAATTGTTGGAGAAATCGGGTTATTTCCCACACGAACGTATTTTCAAAATTGACCTAAAATGTCAAGATCAAAACCACCAAAGGTTTGCACAGCGGATAAATTTGTCAAACTATTGGATATTGAAACACAATGGAAAAACCGAATAAAAAACAATAAAGGAGAGAACACACCAAATTTACGAGGTTCGACGAGAATATCGTCTACTCCTCGGGCACCACACCGGATGATAACTTCACTATATCGTCAATATTACAACAAATGGAATTCTTTAGAATTCCCAAAGTGGGAGAATGAAGAATACAAGAGGAAGAGAGAACTTGTTTTTGGGATGATTTCTAATGAAAATACTTAGGCCTATTTATAGTTGAGTTTTAAGAACAATATGTTCAAAGTTTGGCCACCTACCAAAGAATTTTCTAATGTGTACAAGTTAGCCACTAAATATGAAATTCACATGTTCAAAGTTTAGCAACCAACCAAGATGAAATTTCCAATAAGTTGACCACCAACCAAGATGAAATTTCCAACTTGTCAACTTAATTTCTAGACAAATCTAACAGCTTACTCCGTAAAGATGATTTACTTATGATATGCTGAACACTTGTTACTCAGGAAATTCCAAGAGACAATAGATTCTGGTTTTGAGAACAAAAATATTGTTGGCAATGCAACAGGTTATAACACCTTTAAATTTATCTTGTATTTTCCCCTCACCAGCTTTTCGAACCATGTTAAAAGGTTTTCCTCTTGCATTGTTTTCCATCTATACTAATTTAGGGATTCAGATTTGTTTACCTACTTTCAATAATTAAAAAAAAATCATATTACTTCATGTCTATGTGGCTTCAAGTTGAACGGTTTGATCTTCCCTCTATAAGTTTTAATCTTTGTTAGACAAAACTACAACTTTATGCTTCTTACTGCATGACCTATCTCAAGTCAATATCCAAAATCTTGTTTTCTACTAGTAGTTTATCACAAATACCTCTTTTCTTTAAAGGAAATTAAGCTTATGCAAACTTTAGTGAAAGGTATGTCATACAACAAGTGCCTTTATGGATTTCCCATCTGGGCAATTCACAAATAAGAGAGTGACTACGCTTTAGATATAAAATTTATCCAAAATTTAACTGATTTCTCCAAAGTCCGACTTCTTAATTTTCTCCTTGTCACTCTTTCCTAGGTATAAAAAACCGAAGAAATGTTTACCTTTTTTTTTCTTTCAGAAGAGGACCGTAAATTTGTAAAGAAGGAGGTCACTAAAATTGCTTCAAGAACTAGAGGATCAGCTTGTCCAAGTTGTTTCTCAAATAGCTAAAGAGGAGCAAGAATACCTTGCGGAACAGAATACCCAAAAGAAGGTAACTAGTCTTCTGTGGACTACAAATATCACTAATAGGAGACGCTATCAAATGTTTAGATGTTCTTAACTTAATTGCCCGTCTAGCTCAGTTGGTAGAGCGCAAGACTCTTAACCTTGTGGTCGTGGGATCGAGTCCCACCGAGGGCAATTCATAATGGAGGTCTTTCACGGAAGCTGCTCTCAACCTGGCGTTGGGGCAGCCTACTACCCTACCTCCCCCTTACCCCATTACATATGGGAATAGGGTCAGCTAATTTTCTTAACTTAATTGCTTAAATTATGTGTCTCTGTTGCCAATGTTTTACTAGAAAGTAATCTGAGAATCTGATTAAGTGGTCTGAGAAACATGCAGCTTCAGCTGGAGTTGATTGAAACCGAAAGGCAGGTGTCTTTGATGGATGTAATGATGCGGGAAACAAAAGTACTAGAGGACTTGACATGATATCCTTATCTAATATGCCTTAGGAACTTCGCATTGAAATGTCATCGATTAAACATAAAGTCTTGATTAAAAAGAAGTATGTGAAAGAAATTCCATGTGCATGTTATGCTAATAATTCATACATCAACATTAGTATTAAGTGTGATTAACACATCTAAACACAGATATACAACAAATTGGGTTAATCGCTTTGTATATCTGCAATTTATACAAGCTGTTTTCCTCACTAGTTAATTCTCTATTTCGTTATCAAGAAAATAATGGGAAAGAAAAAATTCTTGAAACTGATAACAGTTAGAAGTTGAAATCCTTTGTTAGTTTACTTAGGTTCTCATAGGCCTAGGAGTCAAGAAGGTCATTCATATATGGATCCTTCCATTGCTGGAAAATATAGATTTTATACATCTCAATACATGCTAGGTTAGTATATATTTGAATTTTTATGCTGGCCTTTGAATTTTTTTTTCTTAACATCTTTAGTGAATGAAAACTGTTACTTGTAGAATAGCTCCTTTACAGGAAATAAGCAGACTTCTGAACTGGAAAAGACGTGTGCTTCCTTCAATGAAGAGTTGCAGAAGAGGTGTATATGTCCTGGTTGTCAAACAGTTAATGTGGAGGCATTGGGTGGAATGCTTGATGCAAATTGATCTGTTGTAAGTATTTTACATGCCAACATTGCAGCCATGGTATTGATGTCTTTGAATTTTATTTGTACAAGAAGTTTTGGACTATGCATTTATGACATTTGATTATATGGTATGACCAAAAAAGGTTTGCTAAAGTCAACATAAGGGATAAAGATGTAGTATGGGTTATTCATTAATGCAATTGTGAAAGAATATACCATGTTTGGAACTCATTTTTACATGCCAAAATTTCATATATAATTATTTCAGCTGCTGACTGACATCATCTAAGAATGATTGCAATGTTTGAACCTTCAATATTTTTTCAAATATCTCTTTTTGTACTGGATAAGAGGTATGGTGTATCTCAGTTATTACTCAATGTTCAAGTTTATGTGAGCTTTACTTTGCATTTACTGTATTATAACACTAGGTTTCATCTGTGGATCCAATTCGTAACCAAACCATGTCCAACAAAAAGTAAGATATGAAAGAGGAATAGGATTATGAAATAATGATATGGTATGGTTTAACTACAATTTTTGCATGTGCGTTGAAGATGCTTCGGTATCCTTTACAATCAAAGATAGCAATGTAGATTTGCCCTCTTCTTTGTTTCCACTTGGCCCCTGCAATGAAAACACTATCTATCATGCCATGATGTTATCTACAGATTTCCTTAACTTAATTCAAAACTAACTGGATTTTGCATGCATTGTTGTTACTACATAGACATATAATGTCATGCTATAGTAAGAATGAGGAGAACTTACAACCTGTTCTGGAGGCATAAAATTAGGAAAAGTTTCATTGTCTAGAAAACTTGAATTGGAGGATTTCGTGACTTCTATCCGTGTTGAGAATAGGGCAGAGACGGGTCGATGATCGGAGAACTTACTTTCACTGCGAAAGTAGGATAAAAGTTTCACTCCTTTTCCATACCACAAAATTCTATCACACCTGCGACCAGATACGAATATCAATCATGCTAATAAGATTGTCATAAATCCAGGTCTTATATATTATGTTTGTAGAACTCTTTATTTTCCATTAAGTATTCATGTCCGCCACTTATATCTGACCCATATTAGGATATATGTATGGGAATGATCCTCGAAATCTATGAAAAAACTTGGAAAACCGACATTCATCTCTAACCCAGTTAAACTAGCTTACATATGGTGACTATGTGCCTAATTGCCGATTGTAGTAGTGATAAGAATTTTATTCTGTAAAAGTTGGATGATCGCAAACCATGTTACCATGCTGGAGTCCTTTGTTTCTCTCCTGATCTGTTGGGAAGACCACCCGAGTACCGATTGCAATTTGATGAAGAATACTTGTATGTTGGAGCAAAATTGATGTTCCCCTCTCTCCAACCTTCAAACACTCCTCCATCTTCTTGTTCCTTTCGAAGCTGATCGAATTCCTGCAGTGCCTTCCAGTCTTGCTTCTTTATTAAATACCTAGCTAAATTGTCTTCCAAGTCTAACCTATAATTGAGGTCTCCGAACCAGAATATCTGACTGTCTTCACAAGAGTTATGATCATGGAGTTAGGATTCTTTGTTCAACTAATTTGCATAAACTTTAGATTGTCACTTTTATGTAACCGTTTTGCATTTACAGCTAAAGTGTACTGTAAAAACCAGGTTGAAACTATAAATTCATTAGCATTTTTAGGGGACAGTTAATATGTTGAAAATTTTGGTTAACACCTGTATCTAGTAAGGACTGATCTCATCCATCCTTTTATTTTTGTTAAATCTTTTGATTGTCTTGTAAAAAAAAATACTTACTCATGTCCTAAGATGGTGAGAGGATGAGGATTGTCATCGTCATTGGCTGACCGAGGAAAAGAAGTTCTCTTAAAAATCTCTGAAACTTGACGATTCCTTCGACCTTCATCACCATTCTTCTCACCCGAAGCCAAGTGAGCAGCAATGAAGCAGAATCTGGTACCTTCAATTGACATACTAACAGAAACTGAACCTTTGTTTCCTAAAAGGCCCATGATTCCACAAGCCACTGAGCTGACTTTCCCATTTGAAACATAATATTTCTCGAGCAATTCCTTCTTCATCCACACACTAATAAAAACTCCAACCATTTTCTTGCTTGCCATCAGCTTGTATTTGCTGCCACAGGGAAATAGTTGCTGATGTCGTTGAGTTCTTGACCTCGCTCTCATCCATCTACTATCAGTTATGCTACTGAAACTTGCTCTTCTTTCACTATCAGGTACTTTCACATATTGGTAATCTTCACTCGAGATTGGATTCAACACCGGAGTCAACCAAGGGCCACCGAATTTTTCATCAAGTGTTTTTCCTATTAACAAGTTCCAATTTGTTGCTTCAGTTGGATCTTCTGCTCCGATCACGGTTCGAGTTTTCAATGGTATGATTTCTTGAAATCTGCAGGTCAATAATTTTTTATTGTCAATTTACTGAACTATTCTTTCTTTTTGATTATGAATAGCCCACACAGCATTACACGATTCTTGATTTCTTTTGACTTGTTTCGTACCCGAGAACATAGATATCAGCAGCATCCTGGGGTTTTAGCCACTCATGTAAATCAACAGCTAAGCTTCCTACAGGAGATCTTCCAGCAACATTCCAAGTTCCCACAAAAATTCTGAAACACGATGGAAAAACGGTTAGTAAATCTATCGTCAACCCCCTTTTGTTTCCTTAACTACATTAGGCCTTTTAAAACACACCTTAACTCATTGGTTGAAGTGCATGGATCCATCTCAAACGAACTAATGTAAACATCTTCCGTGAAATCATCTTCATCTGCAAGAAAAACATGTCCAGCATTAAAATCTCGAAACCAAAAGAAAAATTCCAAAAAAAAAAAAAGAGCAAAACCAACAAAAACAATGATGAAATAAGTAGATAGAAATTACTTAAAAACCTGAAAGTACATCCAGGTCGTAGTAAGGATCAGGTTGCTTGTGCTTATTATGATTGTTCTTGTGCTTCCTTTTGAACCATTTGCGGAATCTCCCAGAGCTTGAGTTTAGGTTCATGTTATCCATTATAACTCCTAAATAAACTCAAATCCATACCAAAAGAACACGTACGCACCCTGCAAAAACAGGGAATAATTAGGATAGTATTCAGAAGCTTAATGCAACTTCTTCAAGTACTTTCTTCCAGGTTTCATCGATCTCTATAATAGAAATATAAAAAAAATTGTAATGTAGTTTTTGTTGTTGTTGATATTGTTGTGTTCATCGCCTGATAGCAAGTAGATGAGCTAGAAGGAAGTTTAAAACAAGGAAACAAACTTAACGAAGCTCAGACATTAATAATTGAAGCGATAATCCCAAGAGATTTAAGTACACGAGAGATGGACAAAGAAAAAGAAAAGTACAATGAAAAGTCTAGGTTTGGAAGATTGATGAGAAGAAACTTCCTTAGCTATATTATCTTTGGGTATTTGCCCGAATTATTTCCAAACTTAAATAAAAATAAAATGTACTAGGAAGCCAAATCTATTGGAATTGTGAACTTCGTTTAATGATTGAATTTATTGAGTGATTAGTGGCAAAAAGAAGTATTATTTTCTTTAAAACTTCAAAATTTAAATAATTGTGTCTGTAAGGATTGAATGCTTTCATTGTGAATTGATTAAAAATTTCTTAAATTTTCAACAACAAAAAAATTATATGCAATCCACTTTGTAGACCCGATAAACATTCGAATTTATTGCATTATCCTTCACAATTGGTTATCCTTTTCAAAAATAAATAAACAGAGGGAACAACCAACAAATTCCACATCAAGAATGCTACGTAATTGCATATAATAATAAATTAATCAATATATGCTGCTTGTAATATTAAAATTATATTAAATATAATAAAAATATAATTTCATTCTTTAATTTAATGATTTATTCCTTTTGATGCAGTTCAATACTTCAATTATTGTGAAACCTAAAGTACAGGTGAACCTATAAAATTGATGGCCATAATAAACCTAAATTTATTCGGCTTTGTTTTTCAATCCCCCGACTGTGGGGAACATTACGAGTGGCCAACCCCAACGGAAAACCGAGTTTTAACATTCTGCAAGCAGTCCAAAAATGCAGAGAGCAGATTGGCCCACCTCAGTTATGACTACACCACCCACTTGCATGTTTTGATTTGATATCTTCCTCTCTATCAACATATAAAAGGGTCATGCTTATTTATAACTTGGAATTTATTTCACTTATACTTCAATTTGCTATCGATAAAACTAAAACCAATATAATATGTAAAACTATCTCTACTGTAAGGGATTTTTCTTTTTAATAAAATTTGTTCTGTACTATTAGGTTAAAAGTAAAACAGTTCATATAAAATAGGTTACACGAATATAATATCAATTTTCAATATTGGAACTAATAATCTGATACCATCGATCCAATTTTAAAAATCTTATTTATGATTTTTTTTTTTTTGCCTTCATTGTATAAGATCATAATCCTACTTTTTTTTAGAATACGAGAAATGCATAGATACTCATCCTTTTCAGACACTTGAATTACTTCTTTCAGGGGTCTCTTACTTTTTGTTCCTTTTAATTTATAACAAGTATTCATCAAATAATTGACTGAAGCTATTGACCTTAATCTTATACATCTCTTTTAGCTAGCTGTTTTAAAATTTCGATCAAAATATGATAAAAAGAAAAGGTAAATTTATGAGATAATCTATTATTTTCATTAACTCAAAATCCTTATGTTATGAAGTATTGAGGATTTCGTCGATTATCCAAAAACATTCACAGCCTGCAGAAGAAACTTCTCTCTCATATTTGATCCAGTTGCTCACATGCAAACTGTCCCCAAGCAACTATCACCGTCCTCTAGCTTTTTCTTCCCACAACCTTTTTTTTTTTTGGATAGATGTGTATAGATACCACCCACACATGCTGTGTTTTACATTTATAATTTGAGTAAGATATGGTTATATAAATATAATAGGAGAAAAATAATTAAATTATGAAGGAAAATAATAATGTTGATGTCCGGTTGACCTAAGCTCTTCTAAGATGGAAAAAGAATTAAACAGGGATAGAACACATGATTTTATGTTAAGAGACAAATTTCTAAAATTGTAGGGGAGAGCAAATTATAAAATTCCAGGGAATAAAAAATAGATTATTAATAGAAAATATAAAAAAAATTAAAACATATAATAATTTAAAATTTTCTGAGAGACGATTGCCCCGATCGTCCCTCTCGATTCTTAGTGGGATTAAAAAACAAGAATTAGAGTTATAGGACAGTTAGAATATTGAATGAAGTTGAAGCTAATTATGTTAATTAGTTAAAATTTAGTTAGTTTGTTAGCATATTATTAAGGGTTATAATAGCTTATTGAAGTATTGGGGACCAAGTCTTTGTAGTCCTTTCTATACAATTTAGTAAAAGTTTTATTTTGTCTTGTTAAGGAGAACAAGGTTGTTAAACTCTTGAATTTTCTCAAATATTTTTTTATCATGGTGTCCGTACCCCAAACAATAGCTAGAACATTTTTTTCCATTTATACTTATGAATCTAAAGCATTCTAAGTTTTGGGATATATAAGATATCATGTCTTTGTACTATTTGTGACCTCAATATTTATAGTAAAATATTATTAGTCTCATTTGTAGAGGTAAACAATATTGAATCACATCAAATTTTGTTTCTTAGGCATATTTTATTTTATGTTAATATCATTTCAGCTATTTTTTTGGCTTCTGAACTCGTCACTATATGTATAATTTGATGATGAATTTAATGGAGATGTTAACTAACTGTTAAAAAGTGTAGATAGGAACTAATAATTGGAGAAGAAGGGAAGGTATATAATTAATGGGTGTGGGGTAGAATTAATTTCATAGGGAGATTAAGAAATGGGTTGGGACATAGGCAGAGACATAAATAGCTTTCATAGGTTGCGACATTCTAACCAGAATTCCACATTCTTCTGTTTGCAGATATATGTCCTTGTCACTTCTTTATTATTGCATCTCTCAAATTCCCCTTTTTTAATTTTCACACAAATTATTTCAACATTCTCTTTGTTTCTTGTACCGGACTTGTTCTACTTTGGACAATAATTATCCAGAAAGACAGAATTATGGAAAAAAAGGCTTATTGGAATTCGAATCCAGTATCATGTGAAGTTAGATCAATTGTTTCACAGATTTAGAAATCTTTCAGTTTTGTTGGAAATCCCCTGCACTTACATCTGCTCCTTTAAGGATATTATGCCATACGTAGGCTTCATTCTTCTTCATGTTTTCCCTTTTGTTGGGCCCTTTGTAACTCCTCGATTTGCATCTCCTTCAATCATACTTTTCAATAATGAAAACTTGACACTTTGAAAACAGGTCATTGTTTAATTATTAATGTTACATAAATATCACATCTTAATAACAAATTACTATCTCTTTGAAAACATTGAGGTACATTTGATTTTAGAAAATATTTTTTGTTTTTGAAAACATTTTTAATAACAAATTATTAACTCTTCCATCTTATTCTGCATTATTGTTGCATTAATGGCCTCTATAAAACAACTGAAATGGTGCATTGTTGCTACAATAAATGATATTTGAAAAGTATATGAAACGGTGCATTAATTGAACACTAAAAAGTAGTTGAAACATTGAATAATTTGGCCCGGTTAAAATACACATTTTTTTATGATTTGAAGTGACAATTCATCAATGAGAAGTTATAGAAGATGATGATGCAACGCTATTTTCACCCATTTTCTGAATAGTTGCTTGAATTTTGCATTAAATGGCCTTTGGAAAGTAGCTGAAACGATCCATTATTGCTGCAATAAATAACCTTTGAAAAGTAGTTGAAAAATAGCTGAAAGATTGGAGATTAAGATGACATTTCACTGGAAAGTTGTTGGATGGTAATTAATGAGGGGTCGTATTTGTTTTAAATTGGCTCATTTCTGATGAATCTTCACAAGCCTTGTTATTTTGCTGCAATTATTTTGAACAAGCAAAAATAAATCTCTCTCTGAAGCTATGGCAAATAAGTTTTTCGCAGTTGTCCACCCTAATGGCCAAGTTGTTGAAGCCGAAGATCGTGTTCAGTTCATGTCACAGAGTCCTATGAACATGATGTTCCCGACAAATGTAACTTATGGGCAAATGAATATGAAAATCGAAAACAAAATCAGATCTTCTGCTTCAAGTTTTCAGAGACTCAGCTGAAATATGAAGCATTCATTCTTGATAATGATGACGATGTAGCTGTTATGGTTGATGTTTATCAATCTTTTGGTAATCAGATGATTGAGACTATTGCTAAAACTGTAGATGTTCTTACTTCCTCAACTACTGCACTGGTGATCTCAGAAGCAGGACCATCAGAAGATATATATAACCTCGTCGGGCAATTCGATGAAATCCTTGTTGATTTTAGCGATGACGATAAAATTTTTATTCCTCTTACAATGGACGATAGCACACTAATAATCGATGAATCTGATATTGTCGAGGATGCTTCAAAGGAACAAGATTTTGACATAGAGGGTGATGTCTGGGAGGCAACCGTTTCTTATGTCCAAGCAATGCAGAATTCTCTGCCAGTTTGGGTACATCCACCAACAACCATGCAAGCAGAAAGTTTGTACCTATAGATACCTCAATATTGTCATGTAGTTGCAAACATGAGATAAACTATGATTCCATGAGGAATCCTGAGATTCTTGATATGCCCAATATATATGCAGTCATTGAGGACCTCGGATAAAGGATCGACGGAGCTTGGAGTTGGGTCACAGTTTGGGAGTAAGAAGGATGTGCAACTGGTCGTCAAGGAGTTTTATATAAAAGCTCATATAGAATTCACTGTTGTGGAGTATTACAAGAAGACATATTTTGTCATATGTATTAACAACAATATCAGTTGTAAGTGGAGGATACGTTTCTCATACCTACAACTAAAGATGTTGTGGGAAGTCACAACGTTCCACAACCAGCACAGTTGAACGTTAAGCTCCTACACTCAAGACCACAAGCACTTAGACTCCAACGTCATATGTGCTTACGTGAAGCTATTGGTCAAGAAAAATATGCAGATCTCGATATCAATAATTGTGGCATCAATACAGAATGCATATGGTTATATTCCGTGTTATTACAACTCTTGGATGGTCAAATGGAAAACTATGACACTACTCTACGGTGATTGGGATCAGTCGTACAATGAGTTGTCCCATTGTTGCACGTGATGAAATATTTCATCCCATGGACCATTGTTTGCTCCTATACTTATCTTGCAACCACATTTGATGGACAAGTTATCTCTGGGAAGAAAGTTTTCGGAGGCTTGTTCTGGGCTTTCAAGTTACAAATTGAAGGCTTCCATTATTGCAAACAGATGGTTCAAGTGGATGACACTTTTCTGTACAACTTATACAAACATGCCTTTATGGTAGCTGTTGCACAAGATGGTGAC